CCAACTCAAAAAAAAAAAAAAAAAGCTGAGGTTTTATGGCATGCTTCTATTTCTTTACCTTGTTTTCCCCATTACATTATAAACTCTTTGAGGCTAAGGATGAGCTCTTAGTCTGTCTATGAGCATATAATATGTTGTATTACTGATGACTCTGACTGACCAAATGACTTACCACCATGGTTGTCTATACCTTATGACCTGCTTTGCTCTGGTATTGTAGCTTTCCAAGGCTCAGTACCCCCATGTGGTGAGCTATCAGTTAATCAAGTAACCTTCTAGGAAGCCAGCTAAGGTAATTTGTGAACTGTTCTCTTTAAGTGGAATTGTGGCTACAGGGCACAGTTGGGGTAGTGGAGGTGAACTGTAGCCTGGAAAGTTAATGTTTCAACATAAAACATCTACGTTTGACAATTATGTAGGACTACCATTGTGTAAGTAAATAAAGCATACTTAAGTAGATTGTTCCTAACTAGCTCTAACTTGGTGTGTTTGATCTTAATTATTAGCTTTTTCTGTAATCTTTTTTGCCTCTTAGCCTAGTGAGCAAAATCATTCTATTAGGCAAGAAAGATAAAGTACCCACTCAGTTTCTGGTCTGCAGTTTTTACTGACATAACCGTGATGTAGTGGAAATAAATAGGACTTGGAGACAGAATATTTAGTTTCATGTTCTGTCACTCGGTTTTATGACCTTGGGCAAGGTCATTTCCATTCTGTGGGTCTGAGGTTCCTCTGTAACACACAGATACCTCACTGATTTTTTTGTGATGATTAGAAGAGGTAACATATATGAGAATGGTTTGTAAAGTGCTATAAAAATATGAAGAATTGTTATGATCATTTTGATATCAGCTTCAATGAAATGGAATGGAACACTACCTATTGAAACAGGCCAGAACCTGAAAACATGAAGAGAGCCAACTTGTGCACTCAGGCAACTCTCTATACTTACTCCAGTTTCTTTTCTTTTCTTTTTTTTAACATTCATGTTGTAAGTTTATTTATATGCATATCCAGTATGCCATAAGTTCAAGAGCTTGATCCATTTTTCAAACAGACTGTATATCTTTTTTTTTTTTTTTTTTTGAGTTGGAGTCTCACTCTGTTGCCCAGACTGGAGTGCAGTGGCTGCTCCCGGCCACCGCAGACTCGACCTGCTGGGCTCCGGCGATCCTTCCGCCTCAGCCTTACAAGTAGCTGGGACTACAGGCGTGCGCTATCACACCTGGCTAATTTTTGATTTTATTGTAGAGATGAGGTCTTGCCAAGTTGCCCAGGAGGGTCTTGAACCCACAGGCTCAGGCAATCCACTCACCCAGACTGTATATCTTAAAGTGCTCTTCCTATCTGTTAAATGGATGAACTAAAACACCCTTACTTCTTAAGTAGTTGGTGTCTTAATATAAAGAAAGGTACAGCAAACCCAGATCCAAAGTACAATGTCATCATCGCTAGCAGCCATCACTTATTTTCTACTGAAAATGGCAAGTTCTTCCCCGGGTCCTCCTTGTAGTGGCTCCTGTGGATCACAGAGGTCATGAAACTCCAGACGCCCTGTCTTCACATGGGGCGGGTGCAAGCCTTGCAAAGGCACAGAGACCGAAGATGGAAGAAATGGCGGCACTACCCCGAGTCTTCCCCTTTCGAGCTCCAGTTTCTACACAGAATTGGCACCCCTGAATAAGATCCAGAGGATATGGGGCCAGCATGTTCCTAGATCCAGAAAGCTATCCTAGTAGCAGTGAATGAATACTAATGATTAGCACCCCTGACAGAGTTGAAGAGTTGGCTCCTACCCCTTGGATGTTCTTCCTGGACACCTTGATTAATTTTGTTGGCTTCCATTCCTCATCATCCCCATCATCTCCATCATCACCATCACCCTCATCATGCTCATTCATAGAATGCTCTGAACAATATTTTAGGTCCTCGATGTCCATGGTTTGCTCCAGGAACTTTTCTTTAACACGAGAAGGTTTTGGCTAAGAAAAAAAGGTTTGGAGTATTTAATAAAAAAAAAACAACACATATGTATCATATCTTTCCAGTAACTGTTGCCAGTTATAGTCTCAGAACAGATTTTAGACGCCCTCAAATCTACCCCATTTGGCTTTACCAATCAGAAGAAATTCTGCTAAAGCCTTTGGCTTTGCAGACTCTTTGAAAGGACAGAAACTGGAGGCTGACCAATCTGAGGGAGGAAGGGAAAACTTATGATATGATGAGATAAGTATCTCTGGATGGACAGCTGAACATTATTGCTCTTTTTTCCTGCTCCTCCTCCTCCTCTGTTGTGTTAAGTAATGCCTGTACATGGTCAAAAGTCAGCCTTCTGAAGAGGGAGAATGCCTATTTTCCTTAGGATTATACTGTAGTTTTATCTGGAATGCCAAGAAAATTGAGATGCTAGAATTGGGAAATTAGCTCTCAACCTCTTCTAAAGGTCCCAAACCTGGGCTATGCAAAGGTATCACGGGCACTGAGCATTTTACCTTAGGTGGGATATATTCAAAAGAAGAGTCTGGAGATAGAAGGGTATCCTTAGGAAGATGTTTCTGTCTGCTGGCTACTTGGAGGAGGATCAGTTTCTATTTGGAAAGAAGAAACAAAGTGTATAGTGCAGGGCAGCTTCTGAGAGTGTTCATGTCTAAAACGTTCCAGAATTAGGATAGCTCAATTTTAAACCATAGTAAAGTGAGGCAGGGTTATAGTAGAGTAGGTTGAAGGACTCCCACTTTCTAAGATCAACAATATTAGATTCAGTACAGAGTAAATTTAAAAACTTATGTTTATATGACTAAATCACATGGAAATTCAACATAGACCTCATAAAACAGTCACCATAATGAGGGCTGCTCCCAAGAGCTGGTCTCAGTATCAACAGCATCTCCCAGGGCTTATCAAGTGGGTAGGAAACTGTATTACCTGCTTGATGATTTCATTCTCTTGGAGAAGCTGCTGATTCTGCTCACATACTTCTCGCATCTTCTCAAGTTCTTCATCCTATTTCCAGATAGTGCAGTAATATGTAGGGTTATTTTTGGCACTACATGTGGGTTACCAAACAACTCACATAGATGAAAACACACTGCTGCCAAGTTGCTGGCAGCAGATGGTTTTTGCACAGCAGGCGTTGGCACCCAGAAAAATTTATAAATCTTAATCTCTAGGTTCCCTGAATGCCACTTCCATTCCAATGCTCCTCAGCAGCCCTGACCACACTCATAGGAACCATGGGCTCTGTCTTACAAGCCTGCCTTATTATTTTCCATTCTCTAGCTTCATGTCTCCTATTCATACCAGAATGCTCATTAAGAAACTTACAGAAAGTTAGCTTTATTTCCTTGAAGTCTATAGATGCCTCCGTTCACCCTTCTCAACATAGACTAGGCAGTTTATTTGCTATTCTAATAAGCCTGATTAAACTTCCTGGCCTTAAGACAACCAGATTCATGCCTATAACCTTAACTATTTTGGTTATGTCTTAGATGGGAGGTGCCAAGGAAATCCCAGAGACTGGAAGTTTAGGAGGAAGATTCTAAGTTGTGCTGAAATAGTGCTCCAACATTCTACCAAAGGGTGTGGTGTTCCCAGCCTCTGGAATAAATTCAGACCCCAGGCATTTTATAAACATGTCAGGTCTCAGCTCAGAAGAATAAGCTCTTCACAGAGTTGAATGCCCCTAGGATTCTAAATAACTACTAGATAATTTCATTTCCTCAACTCTTTAGAGTTCAGGGTTAAGGCAAAGAACCAAGAGACTTAAGTCTGGTATGGAGTATGTACTGCTGTTTTGGTGCCCAAAATGAAACTATTCCTATGTTGGCTGCACTCTAAGTACCCTTAATCTGATCAAATAGGGCCAAAAGGCAATAAGTCTACCATTATAACTTTTTCAGTAGTTAATTACTTTCTGTCGCAAGTACAAGGGTCTAAATGGGACGATTCTCAGTGAGGCCTGTGAAACCCATTTCTGAAGACCTGTCTCCCATTATCATACCTGACACTTCAGTGTATTCAGCAGCTGCTGTTCCTTTTCACTGACTGACTCCTCTAACTGCTTCTCTGCCGTTTGGCTTTGTTGCAGTTGGCTGAGAAGGTACAGCACCTAGAGAAAGACACAACCCAATGGATGCTATTAAAGGTACAAGGGGACAAAGAATTTTGACTTAGTTGATGCAGTGATCCAGGTGACTTTTTTGTGATTTAGAAGTAAGCTGTTCTCTTTTGTCCTCATGGTTTGAAGTAGTAAGCACAGCATCGATGTTTCTCAGCATATTAATCTTGGTATTCAAGTTGGAAGCTGAGAGCCGTTGTTACCAGTATGTGTAAACTTAAAAGTCACTTCTCTCTGTTTCAGGTTTCCTCTTATTTGCAAAATGTGGAAAAGACGACATCGCCTCTTGAAGGAAACTTTATATCCCCACTAATTTTTTTAACTAACAACAAAAGGCAATGATGGTTTCACAGTATACCTTCTTAACTTGTTAGAGTTTACCTTTTCTTGATGTTGTTGCTCCACTTTGACCAGCTCAGCTTGCAATTCTGTCTCTATCTCAGCAAAATGATTTCGTTCCTCAAACAGCATCTTCTGCATGTCAGCACAGCTGGCCTTGCTCTGTTTTAGGCTGCTTTCAAGTTTGCTGACCTGTATTTTGGAGGAGACCAGCTGGGAGGGATAAAAGAAGACAATTTTATTTGAAGAATGACCACTTCCCCCCACCATTCATTAGGCAGGAAAATGTTAGCTTTCTTGAAATGCTCTGAGAAGAGTTCCTCCATGTGTCCATTCTTTTTTTTTTGAGTTGGAGTCTCACTCTGTCGCCCAGACTGGAGTGCAGTGGCTGCTCCCGGCCACCGCAGCCTCTACCTGCTGGGCTCTGGTGATCCTTCCGCCTCAGCCTTCCGAGCAGCCGGAATTACAGGTGTGCGCTACCACACCCGGCTGATTTTTTTGATTTATTGTAGAGATGAAGTCTTGCTGCCCAGGCGGGTCTCGAACCCGCGGGCTCAGGCAATCCACTCACCTCAGCCTCCCAAAGGCGCAGGATTACAGGCTGAGCCACCGAGCCCGGCTCAAGTCCATTTTTATTTTTTCATGTTATGTGGATTCTAACATTGAATAGTAACAATACTACTGTTCTATTCTCAAGCAAAGAGTCCACATTTCTGCTGACACATATCTCGGGGGTAGAAGCCATTGCTAAGTTCATTTTATTTCTTGCTCTGCCTCAAGGCAAGAATAAACCAAACACAAGCAGTATCTGACAACTCCAAATTCTAATATTTAAGAAGTTCTTTCTTAATTTTAAAGAAGGATACACCCTTATGGCCAATTATGTCCTATTTCAGAATGTCTGTATTCACATGTCAGAACTTGTAGACACATAGCTGAGATTGCAAATCTGGCTCTTCAGGCTATATTGATATCTTATGCTGGCCTTGTTTTACATTCACTACTAGCCCGGAGGATGAATACCATAAACATCAGTGTGCACAAGACTAATCAGGATTTCCTTAGTAGAAAAATTCTGCTAACCTAACACGAAAATGTATAAAAGACAGCATTATTCAAACTTGCGAATTTGGAATACGTATGCTTGCTTTGAGTGAAAATGCCTCAATCACCAGAGATGATCAACTTTTACTCTTCCTGTGACAACGTAAGGTGACATTATTTTAAGATTGGGGAAGATGGCTTTCCCTTAAAATAAATAAATAAATAAATAAATCTTTGAGTTGGAGTCTACACTCTGTTGCCCAGACTGGAGTGCAGTGGCATGCTTTCGGTCACTGGAGCCTCAAACTGCTGGGCTCAGGTGATCCTTCAGCCTCAGTCTTCCAAGTAGCCGGAACTACAGGCGGACACTACCATGCCCAGCTAATTTTTTGATTTATTGTAGAGACGAGGTCTCACCATGTTGTCCAGGCTGGTCTCGAACCCGTGGGATCAGGCAATCCTCTCACCTCGGTCTCCCAAAATGCTGGGATTATAGGTTTGAGCCACCGTGCCCAGCCAAAATAAAACTTTAAATGTCAAAAGATGCTTAGATTTCCCCTTTTCTAGGTTATATCTTAAACTTCTTGAACATACATCTTACAGGTGTTTTTAAAAGTAGTGCAATATAATAGTTTATGTTTAGCTAGTGATCCACTATGGCATTCTGGTCTTTCCCTAATAACAACAGCTAACATCTATAGAGCACTTGCTATATGCTAGTCATTATGGGTATCAATTTGCGAGTCATATTATATTTTTGTAAGTGACTGCCCTGTACTTGCTTACACGAACTTTTACACACTAAACTCTCTTTCTAATGTTAGTGTCACTGGGGTTTCTATCATGAAAAGTGGCAATATCATATGGGTAACGTCATATTTCAGTCTATATTACTAGCCTTCTAATCACTGGTAGAAAGAGTGCTGTTTACCTCTCCAATTAAATATTTCAGGGCACACTTGGCTTCCAGAATGGTAGCAATGTTCTCCCAGCGTTGCTTTGGCCTGTCTTCATTTTCTGCATCTAGCAGCTTCTGTTGTAGGTCAGCAATCTGAGCACTCCTGTAGGGAAAGAAACAGTGAGCCTTATTGCAAGTTGTCTCAACATCAAGGAGAAGGGGTAAGCGTTCCAAGGAGAAACTTCAAATATTTTTATGAATGGAGTTATCAGATAAATATCATTTAAATAATGATTGAGTCATTTGGTCAAAATTTTATATGGTATCTCAAATTCTGTTACAAAAGCACTCCAAAAAACTATCCACATGGTTTTATTATATTAAGTATTGGTTGAAAAAAAAGGGTCATATAGGGGGACTTGGAAAGATTTATTTTTTTAATTTATCTTTCTCTTTTTTTTTTTTTTTTTGAGTTGGAGTCTCACTCAGTCGCCTAGACTGGAGTGCAGTGGCCAATCCCGGCCACTGCAGCCTCGACCTGCTGGGCTCTAGCGATCCTTCCGCCTCAGCCTTCCAAGTAGCTGGAATTACAGGCATGTGCTACCACGCCTGGCTATTTTTTTAATTTATTGTAGAGATGAGGTATCGCCAAGTTGCCCAGGCGGGTCTCAAACCCGCGGGCTCAGGCAATTCACTCACCTCGGCCTCCCAAAGCATGGGATTACAGGCTGAGCCACCGAGCCCGGCCGGAAAGATTTATTATAGTAAAGTTTTTGTTGCAGTGTATTGACTGTAATGTAACTTTGTCTTGAGGGCATATAGGCTCAGAACATGATACGGTGGCCTACCCACACAAGAATAAGATTCAGGTTGGAGACCTGAAGGAAAAATCTCAAAAGCATCAAATCCCAAACTAACACCTATGGCCGGTGTTATGAGAGGTTATCTTGAAGTGTCTGCCACAGGACCGAGAAGTTTCTTTTTGGTTTTTGAGTAGGAGTCTCACTCTGACACCCAGGCTGGAGGGCAGTGGCATGGTCCTGGCTTCTGTAGCCTCGACCTGCTGGGATCAGGCGATCCTTCCGCCTCAGCCTTCCAAGTACCTGGAACTATAGTCATGCACTACCACGCCCGGCTAATTTTTTGATTTATTGTAGAGATGAGGTCTCACCAACTTGCCCAGGCTGGTCTTGAACCCATGAGCGCAGACAATCCTCTTACCTTGGCCTCCCAAAGTGCTGAGATTACAGGCTTGAGCCCATGCCTGGCCCTGGATCGTGAAGTTTCTAAGAAGATACCCTGACTCTGGTTATAGCTTCCAGATACTTTCTGATCAAGTATGGCCTAGACCAAGGTCTATACAATATTTCAGGTTCATAAATAGCTTTATTCTCAAACTTGTTCTGTGTTGAGTGAAAGGGCGCATACCAGCATGTACTTAATATGTGGTGCTATGTTAGGTACTATAAGGACGACAGGTAGAAAGGTAATCTAAGATTGCAGTTTCAAATTTTGGAGTCTCAGGATCACTTTATACTCTAAAAAATTATTATTATTATTTTGTTTTTTCTGAGATTATTTTTATTTTTTATTTTTTTGAGTTGGAGTCTCACTCTATTGCCCAGACTGAAGTGCAGTGGCTCGCTCCCGGCCACCACAGCCTCGACCTGCTGGGCTCCGGTGATCCTTCTGCCTCAGCCTTCCAAGCAGCTGGAACTACAGGCGCGTGCTACCACGCCCGGCTAATTTTTTTTTTTCATTTATTGTAGAGATGAGGTCTTGCCAAGTTGCCCAGGCGGATCTCGAATTGCGAGCTCAGGCAATCCACTCACCTCAGGTAATCCCAAAGCGTGGGATTACAGGTTGAGCCATTGGGCCTGGCTTCTAAAAAATTATTGAGGACCTCAAAGAAATTCTGTTCATATGTGTTTTACCTATAGGTATTTATAGTATTAGAAAGTAAAACTGAAAACATTTAAAATATTTAATGTACTTTAAAAATAATAACAAACCCTATTATACATTAACATTTTATGAAAAATAATGTTTTCCAGGATAAAAAATAATTTAGTGAGAAGAATGAGATTATTTTACATTTTTGGAAATTTCTGGCTTAGATGAAGACAGCTGGATTTTCACATCTCCCTCTGTATTAAATCTTTTATGACATGTAGTTACTTATAGTTGATGTAAAGGAAGACAATCTGGCCTCACATGGATATGCAGATGGAATAGGAAGCCCTTCCAGATAACTGGATGGTCTTCTTTGAGACTACTCTAAAACTCAACTAGTGGTAGTTCCTTAAAAGTTAGTCACAATGTGGAGTCGGAACCTGTTATTAATAAACTTTTTGTATTCTCCTATATTAAAATTCATTGGTCTATTGTGTAATCTAAAATGGATCCTTTATCTATATATGATTCTGTAAAATGTTACATGGACAATATTAGTCCACTGAGTCATGCAGATTCTCCAAATGTTAACATATTTTATTATATAATAAACAAAAAAAAATCATACTTGATAATATCACTAACTGGTCTTGTCAGAAAAGTTATAAAAAACTGTCTGTTGTTCTTCCTATAGACCAGCCTAGACTGCTCTGTCTATGGAGTAGCCTGCTCTCTGTCATTTCAATAAACATAAGGAAGGAAGGGAGAGAGGGAGGGAGGGAAGGGAGAGAGGGAGGGAGGGAAGGGAGGGGAAGAGAGGGGAGAGGAAGAAGGAAGGAAGGAAGGAAGGAAGGAAGGAAGGAAGGAAGGAAGGTAGGTTATGAAAAACCGTGAAGCTCATGGTGGCAGATACAAGTTTTCCAAAATTTAAAATTTTGCTTAAAAGCTCAATTTTTTTTTTTTTGAGTTGGAGTCTTACTCTGTCGCCCAGGCTGAAGTGCAGGGGCATGCTCACGGCCACTGCAGCATCGACCTGCTGGGATCAGGTGATCCTTCCACCTCAGTTTTCCAAGTAGCTAGAAATACAGGCGTGCACCACCATGCCTAGCTAATTTTTCTGATTTACTGTAGAGATGAGGTCTCGCCAAGTTGCCTAGGCTGGTCTCGAACCCATGGGCTCAGGTAATCCTCTCACCTTGGCCTCCCAAAGTGCTAAGATTATAGATGTGAGCCACTGCGTCCGGCCTCAAATTTTATCTTTGGTAACAAGTACTGTCAGTTGTTTTCCTCAAAGTGATAGGCTCACTCTGTTTGTTTTTGAGAAAATGTCTGCCAAGTAACCAAGTCTGAATAACCAAAGTTTGTCAGGTGTTCATTCAAGTAAAAATGATGTTCTATGAAAAAAGAGGCCAATTAAGCTCATACCTCACACATAGTTTTTCTTGAAATGACCATCATATTCAGTATGTGGAAAAAGTGCTTTAAATGTGCTGGTCCCATTTCGTCACACATGCCATTAAAAAGACATGAACTTCAGGGTTGAGATTTAATACAATTAATCATTTTAATCAAAACCATTCTTAATTAAAACTGGCTTGTATTTTTTTAAAAATTGAGAATATGACTACTAGTTTAGGTTGGTGCCACTGCTTTCATGTCAGCACTTTTGTCCACTACTGTTTTGCATTACTCGTGCAAACTGCCAACATAGTAGAAAAGACAAATGATGTCTTAATATTATTATGAAAATTGTTTTGACTGCTTGGACTCCCTGAAAGAGTCTTAGAAACCTCTAGGAATCTGCAGACCATGCTTTGAGAACCCTAATGTATAGTCTTTTCCTTCAATAAGCGTATACTCTGTCTTTAGATTGGCAAAACTAACAAACATAAAAACAACAACAAATATAACTATAACATATGTCATCTGTATCACATAATAAGTTCTGGAAGAGTTTAGACAAGAGGAAGATTAGTGGCAGATGAAGAGTCAGGGAAAGTTTCTGGAAGAGGTGGAGCAGGACACCTCAGAGTCATCATCTATCGTTGGCCCTTTCCTGTCTCCTCTGATAATTCACATCCTTATCTATTTCAAAATTTAGATCTCATCAAGTTTAGAAAAGTTCCCCTAACTCAACTCAGTTCTGTTTAATCCCTTCTACTTGGCACCTGCTATACAGTAACATAATCATTTACTTATGCATATAGTGTGCAGGTAAATATTCGATAATCAGCACTTAAAAAAACCTGTAGTTTTTGCCAGTTTCTGTGGTGTAAATACTCTCACTATAATCAATTGTAAGCTATCAGTAGTTTACAACATTCCTGAAATTTTAACAAATGATTCCAACACAGCACCGTATATAGTTATACTATTTACATCTGAGAACAAGGGTAATGTCATCTACTCTTTCTGTATACTCCAACTGCATTCAGTGCACCACAAAGCAGGAATTCATATGTTGAATGATATATAGATTGTACTCAAGGACAAACAGCTAGTATGAATTGCTAAAGCTAAATTAAATGATTCCCAAGGCCCCTCCTGGGCAATAAAATTCTATTATCCTAAGACACTATAAAGTCTCTGTCAAAGTTCTGTTCCTACTAGATTTCATAAACTGCTTAAAAGACAATAGTGATTGGAGAAGCTGTGTATCATAATTTCTAGTCTTAGAGCCAGGAGGAGACAGAAGAACATTCAATGAGTATCTAATATGCGCAGTATTGTATTATGCATTTTACTTACTAATTTCATTTAATGCTCATGATTATTTATACTTTTTCTTTTTTGAGTTGGAGTCTCACTCTGTCACCCAGATTGGAGTGCAGTGGCTGCTCCTGGCCACCGCAACCTCGACCTGCTGGGCTCCGGCGATCCTTCCGCCTCAGCCTTACATGTAGCTAGAACTACAGGCGCGTGCTACCATGCCCGGCTCATTTTGATCTATTATAGAGATGAGGTCTCGCCAAGTTGCCCAGGCGGGTCTCGAACCCGCAGGCTTAGGCAATTCACTCGCCTCAGCCTCCCAAAGGCGTGGGATTACAGGCTGAGCCACTGAGCCTGGCTCTGGCTAAATTTTGATTTATTGTGGAGATGAGGTCTCGCCAAGTTGCCCAGGTGGGTCTCGAATCCGCGGGCTCAGGCAATTCACTCACCTCAGCCGCCCAAAGCACGGGATTACAGGCTGAACCACCGAGCCTGGCTTATTTATACATTCTTATACTGCATTTTGCTGATGATTTCTAAAGTTCTCTCTCTGTGTTGTTGCTCTTCTATTATTATTCCTTTGGTTTCTCTAAAATTTTGTTAGTTCTATATCTCAGAGATACTACAGCATCAAAAACTGTGGCGTCTGTCTCTCTGGTTATCAGCTAAAAAGAAATAAAAGACAGTCAGGCTCGGTGGCTCAGCCTGTAATCCCACGCTTTGGGAGGATGAGGTGAGTGGATTGCCTGAGCCCATGGGTTCGAGACTTGCCTGGGCAACTGGGCGAGCCCTCATCTCTACAATAAAATCAAAAATTAGCCAGGCGTGGTAGCGCACGCCTGTAGTTCCAGCTACTTGGAAGTCTGAGGCGGAGGGATGGCCGGAGCCCAGCAGGTTGAGGCTGCGGTGGCTGAGAGCGTACCACTGCATTCCAGTCTGGGTGACCGAGACTCCAACTCAAAAAAAAAAAAAAAAAAAGAAAAGAAATAAAAGACAAATAGAAAAAAATTGTGGTGTAGTGTAAAGAACATGGGCTTTGGAATTAGAGTGGGTTTTGAATCCCAGCTCTGTTGTTTGTTAGGTTGTGGTAATACCACTGGCATATTTCTTTTTCTTTTCTTTTTTTTTTTTTGAGTTGGAGTCTCACTCTGTCACCCAGACTGGAGTGCAGTGGCCGCTCCCGGCCATCGCAGCCTCGACCTGACCTGCTGGGCTCTGGCGATCCTTCCGTCTCCGCCTTCCAAATAGCCGGAATTACAGGCATGCGCTACCACGCCCGGCTGATTGTTTTGATTTATTGTAGAGATGAGGTCTCGCTGCCCAGGCGGGTCTCGAACCCGCAGGCTCAGGCAATCCACTCACCTCAGCCTCCCAAAGGCGTGGGATTACAGGTCGAGCCACCGAGCCCCGCTGGCATTTCTTAAGATCTCTGAACTTCTTATTGACTGATTGCCAGACACATTGGGGGTGGGGTGTATACTAATTTTAATGACACTAATGTTAACGAGTTCTGTTAACCCACTACCATCAAACCAGCCTGAACTTCATTTTAGATCTCTAAAGTGAGAAGAATGATACTTGCCTTATAGGTATCAAAGGGACTGAATGAGAAAATGTATCTAACGTGTCTATTGCAGTATCTGGTTCAAAACCAGATATCTGGTCATTTTCTCTTGTTTTCTCACCATCAAAAAGCTTTTCAATCATTGGACTGACAAGTTTTATTTTTGATTCCAGGCATACATTTTTTCTTTTTTGAGTCAGAGTCTCACTCTGTTGCCCAGACTGAAGTGCAGTGGCACGCTTCTGGCCACCGCAGCCTCGACCTGCTGGGCTCCAGTTATCCTTGTGCCTCAGCCTTCCAAGTAGCCGGAACTACAGGTGCACGCTACCACGCCCGGCTAATTTCTGATTTATTGTAGAGACACGGTTTTGCCAAGTTGCCCAGGCGGGTCTCGAACCAGCAGGTTCAGGCAATCCACTCGCCTCGGCCTCCCAAAGTGCTGGGCTTACAGGCTGAGCCACCAAGCCCGGCCCAGGCACACATTTTTATAATGCCTTAGAGATAGACCCATTACCTGAGTTCCATTTCAGTCTCTAGGCTTTCAATCTGCTTTGTAATAGAATCTTCTGACTCCAAAACTTGATCGTGCACTTCAGCAAGTGAGAATGTGCGTCTCTGTAAAAAAAGAATAGTGGGAACAAGGGTGAAGTACTTACTAAAAGGAAAGTAATCCTCTAAAGCTGTGAGGAGTTTGGAAGAATGCAGAGTCTGATTATTGGTAACAGTTTTTTCCATAAGGGCACCTACCCGGAGTTTAGGAGGTAGATTCTCCCCAGATTCCTTTTTCTCTTTAAGTTGAGCCAGATCTTGAGCCAGTATCTTTCTGTCTTCAAGAAGATCATCCAGATGGCGTTTGGCTTCCTCAGTACTGACCATAACCTCAATTTCATTTCCAAGCCAATTCTAGAAGAGAAATCAGTGAAGTCTGGGTTAGGGAAGAAGAATCACTTGGCCCATTGGTTATATTCAGCTAGATACTTAATTTCATTTGGACCAAAGCTCATGTAACTAGAAGTGTCATTTCCATTTGTACCTATACTCACCCAAAATGTCAGTAACTAAGAGCCTTGTTTTAACAGCAATATCCCAAAAGGTCACAAGAAAGATTTTCTTCCGAAAATCTTTCTCTAGATATCCCAGCATTTCTACGTGCCCTGTTCTTTATTTTCTCCGTTAACATTTGTTCTTTGCCCTTAAATGGTCATAATATAAAACTTCAAGAGTGGCTGGGCTCAGTGGCTCAGTCTGTAATCCCAGCACTTTGGGAGGCTAAGGCGAGTGGATTGCCTAAGACTGTGGGTTCGAGACCAGACAGGGCAACTTGGTGAGACCATGTCTCTACAATAAATCAAAAGTTAGCCGGACATGGTAGTGGGTGCCTGTAGTTCTGGCTACTTGGACGGCTGAGGCAGACCACCAAAGCCCAGCAGGTCAACGTTGGTGTGGCCATGAGTGTGCCACTGCACTCCAGTCTGGGCGACAGAGTGAGATTCCAACTCAAAAAATAAAATAAAATAAAACTTAAGAGTATTTTTTATTGTCTATTCCATTTAATAACTAGATATCCATTCTTAATTATTAAAGTAGATAAATGAGCTTTTTAAAAAAGAAAATAAAATTCACTAAATTCATTTTAAAACAGTAACCATCCCTGATAATATTTCTGCTTTTTTGATGAAGATACACCATGCTAATGGCAACCAAAAGAAAGCTGGAGTGATTATATTAATATCAGATAAAGTAGAATTCCTATCAAAAAATACTACTACTGGGGATAAAAAGTATTCATCATGATAAAGGAGTCAATTGTTCAAGAGAACATAATCCTTAATGTTTATGTCCCCAATAACAAAGCACCAAAATATGTAAAACAAAAACATATATAAGATAACAAAGATAATATGGAATCACAAAAATGCTCCATTGATTAAAAAAAAAAGAAAAAAGAGAATGAAGAACAGATGAAACAGAAAACAAATAGCAAGATGATAGGCTCAAATTTACCTGTATCAATATTTACATTAAATATAAATGATTTAAGCACCCCAATTAAAATGCACTGATTTTCAGATAGGGTTCAAAAAGCTAGGTCCAAACACATGCTGCCTATAAGAAACACACTTTAAAAATGAAGGTACAAATAAGTTAAAATTAAAAGGGTCAAAAAAATATGTTAACACTAGTCAAAAGAAAAGTTGGAGGGGCTATGGCAATATTAGACAAAGCAGAGTTTAGAAAAAAGAATATTATCAAACATAAAGAAGGTCTTTGCATAATAATAAAGGGGTCAATTAATCCTAAATGTTTATGCTCCTAATAACAGCATCAAAATGCATGAGGCAAAAAAATTCTCCAAGGAAAAATACACAAATCTATAATTATAGATTTCAAAGATTTTCAATAATTGATAGGACAAGTAGGCAGAAAATCAGCAAGAATACAGTAGAAGTGAACAGCACAATCAATCAAATCGACACGACTGACATTTATAGAACACTCTATCCAACAATAGCAGAATACACATTGTTCTCAAGTGCACACAGAACAGTTACCAAGATTGATCATATTCTGGGCCATAAAATAAGTCTCAACAAGTTCAAAAGAATTCAAGTCGTGTTCTCTGACCATTATAGAATTAAGTTGGAAACCAACAACAATAACAAATCTCCAAATATTTAGAAACTAAGTTACACATCTCTGAATAACCAATGACTCAAAGTGGAAGTCAACAGAAAAATTAGAATGCATTTTGAATTGAATGAAAATTAAAACATAACTATCAAAATTTGTGGGATGTCATTAAAAGAATGCTTATAGGGAAATTTGTAGCATTGACTGCCTATATTAGAAAAGAACAAACTCGAATCAATGACCTCAGCTTCTTCCTTAAGAAAGTAAAAAAAAAAAAAAAACCAAAAATACAGGCCGGGCATGGTGGCGGCTCACACCTGTAATATCAGCACTTTGGGGACTGAAGTAAGAGGATTGCTTGAGGTCAAGAGTTTGAGATCAGCCTGGGCAACATAGCAAGGCCTCATCTCTATTTAAAAAAAAAAATTAGCCAGGCATGATGATGTATGTCTATAGTCCCAGATACTCAGGAGGCTGAGGAGGGAGGATTACGTGAGCCCAGAAGTTTGAGGCTGAGGCTCTGGTGAGCTGTGATCCAGTTTGTGCGACAGAGTGAGACCCTGAATTAAAAAAAAAAAAAAGCAAACAAACAAGTCTAAAGTAAGCAAACAAACAAACCACCACCAACAAAAAAACAACAAAGTAAAGCAATCAGCTGGGGTTTTTTAAAAAAAGTTTTTATTATGGTAAAATATACCTAACATAAAATTTACTAATTATTTGTAAGAATGAGTTGGTTCTTTGATAAACCTCTAGCTGAAAAAGGAGAAAACAAACAATATCAATAATAAGAATGAGACAGATGACACCACTACAGATTTTACAGATTTTTAAAAAGATAAAGGACTAAATGAACAACTTTATGCCAATAAATTTGACAACTTAGATGAAACAAATTCTCTGAAACACACAAACTACCAAAGCTCACTCAAGAAGAAACATGACTCTGAACATTCTATATCTATTTTTTAAATTAAATTTTAGTTAACATCCCTCCCCCCAAAACACAAAAAATAAGCAGGTAAATAAAAATCTCTTCAGGCCCAGATGACTTTACTGGTGAATTCTCTTAAACTTTTTTTTTTTGAATTGGAGTCTAACTCTGTCACCCAGACTGGAGTGCAGTGACCGCTCCCGGTCACTGCAGCCTCGACCTGCTGGGCTCCGGCGATCTTCCGCCTCAGCCTTCCAAGCAGCTGGAACTACAGAGGTGCACTGCCACGCCTGGCTAATTTTTGATTTGTTGTAGAGATGAGGTCTCGTCAAGTTGCCCAGGCGGGTCTTGAACCCGCGGGCTCAGGCAATCCACTTACCTTGGCCTCCCAAAGTGCTGGGATTACAGGCTGAGCCACCGAGCCTGGCCTCTCTTAAACTTTTAAGGGGAGAAACAACATTAATTCCATACAAAGTCTTTCAATTGAAGAGTAAGGACTATTTCCCAACTCATTCTGAGGCCAGCATTACCTTGATACCGAAACCAAAGACATTACAAAACAAAACAAAACAAAACAAAACACCACAGACAAATCTCTCTTATAAAAATAGATACCATGATTTTATTTTAGAGACGAGGTCTTACTATGTTGTCCAGGCATGTCTTGAACTCTTGGGCTCAAGCAATTCTCCCATCTCAGCTTTCCAAGGTGCTAGGATTATAGGCATGAGTCACCATGCCCAGTCACAAATAGACGTATAGAAATTTGATTTTGACAAATAAAAAATAAACATAGATCTAAACGCAAAGCCTAAAGATATATAACTTCTAGAAGAAAACTTAGAAGAGAATCTTAGTGACCATGGGTTTGGCAAAGATTTCTTAAATAGGACACAAAAACCATGAAGTATAAAAGAAAAAAATGTTAATAACCTGAATGGCATCAAAATAATAAAAAAGATTTGCTCTTCAAAAGACACTATTACAAAAAGGCAAGTCAGCCGAGCTTCCCAGCACTTTGGGAGGCCGAGGTGAGTGGATTGCCAGAGCTCACGGGTTCGAGACCCACCCAGGAAAATTCGTTGAGACCTCGTCTCTACAGTAAATCCAAAATTAGCCAGGCGTAGTAGCGCGTGCATATAGTTCTGGCTACTTGGAATGCTGAAGTGTAAGGATCGCCGAGGCCAAGCAGGTCGAGGCTGCGGTGGCCGGGAGTGTGCCACTGCATTCCAGTCTGGGCAACAGAGTGAGAATCCAACTCAAAAAAACCCCAAAAACCAAAGCAAAAAGGCAAGCCTAGGAGAAAATATGTGTAAAACATAGAAGTCCTCTGTTTAATAGTTCTAGAATATATAAAGAATTCTAACTAAATAAAAGAAAAAAGACAATCCAATTAAAAAACAGGGAGACCCACCCGGGCAACTTGGCGAGACTTCATCTCTACAATAACTCAAAAATTAGCCGGGCATAGTAGCGTGTGCCTATAGTTCTGGCTACTTGTAAGGCTGAGGTGGAAGGATCACCTGAGCCCAGCAGGCTGAGGCTGCAGTGGTTGCGGTGGCCAGGAGCGTGCCACTGCACTCCAGTCTGGGCAACGGAGTGAGACTCTGACTCAAAAAACCAAAAAAATAAAAAACAAACAAAACAAAACAGGGAAAATATTTGAACATATACTTCATGGAAAAAAACATGCATATAGCAAATAAGCCCATGAAAAGCTGCTCATCATCATTAGTCTTAGGAAAATGAAAATTAAAACCACAATAGTCACCACACAGAACAGCTAAAATTTAAAATACTGACCATACTAAATATTGGCAAGCATGTGCAGCAACTAAAACCCTCATACGTTGCCAGTAGGAATGTAAAATGGTACGACCACTTTGGAAAACAGTTTGGCAGTTCCTTCAAAGTTAAAATATACACCTACCATACAGGCAAGTCATTCCACTCCTACCCAAAAGAAATAAAAAACCAAACATTTCCACACAAAGACTTGTACATAAATGCTCAGTACAATATTCATAATAGCCAAAAATGGAAACAACCCAAATACCAATCAACAGGTGAATGTGGATGAATCTCAAAGTAATTGTGCTGAATAAAAGAGGTCAGAAAAAATTACATTTTGTATCATTCCATCTTTATAAAATTTTAGATAATGAAAACAAATCTATAGTGACAGAAAGCAGATTAATGGTTGGCTGGAATCATTGCAGGGGTTCTAGGCAACCATTTCCTGGAACAAGGGTATAGATGGGTAAGTTGGGGAGGGAAGGGAGGGATTACAAAGAAAGTTTTGGCAGTGATGGACATTATCATTATCTTGACTGTGGTGATGATTTCATGGGTACGTACACGTGTCCAAAGTCATCAAACTGTATGCTTTAGCTATGTACAATTTTCGTTAGACTGATGTGGATTGAAGAAAAATAAATATACAATTTATTATATGTCAGTTATACTTCAATAAAGCAGCTTAAAAAAAATAACTGAACCTTAGCAGAAGCAAGGATAGAAAGAGTTCTATACACTTGGTCTTTAACAATTCAAAAGACATTCATATATTTAGGAAACAAGGCTTTCAAGTAGAACTTTAGATTTTGCAGTGTTTACTCCTAAACCAAAAAAAAGAGGCTGTTTCCCATTTTTTCCATATGTAAGAGAAAGGGCACTTTAAGCTGTCCATACCTTCACTCGTGTTGCAGTGCCTTCCATTCCACGGCTCTGAGTCTCTTTCCGTTTATCTGCAACCTCCCGTTGTTTCTGGAGAGCATCTTTGAGACGCTTGTTGGCAGCTGCTGCCTAAATAAAAACGACACATAGTAAAGTTGCATGAAGGGTTAAAAAGAACATTCCAATTTCCAGCATATTAATAAAGAAAAATAACCGTGCCTTTGGGAGGCTGAGGTGAGTGGATTGCCTGAGCCCGCGGGTTTGAGACCCGCCTAGGCAACTTGGAGAGACCTCATCTCTACAATAAATCAAAAAAT